AACCACTGTTGTGGAAGCTAATGGGGTTCCTTATAAATAAACAAATAAATAAACCAGGGTTGCCGTTTGTTACAGATTCAATTTATAATTTAAATGGGCAGAATTTCTAGACCAAGTGACAGAAAGCTTCAACTTGGGTGGTCTCAGAATCTCATCTCTGCCTTTCGCAGATGTGGCTCCATTGACTTCATCAGGCGGTGGCCTCCAGCAGCAGGATGAGAATCACCACCTCCAAGTCTGAGGCCATGGTCCTCAGCCAGAAAAGGGTGCCATGTCCATACTAAACCAGGTTAGGGACGAGTTCCTGCCCCAAGTGGAGTGCCTTGGGTCAGTATCTTGGGGTCTCGTTCACAAGTGAGGGAAGAGGGGAGTAGGAGATTGACAGACAGATTGGTGCTGCAGCGCCAGTGATGCGAATGCTGTACCGGTCTGTTGTAGTGGAGAGAGACCTGCACTTAAAAGCTAAGCTCTCAATTTCCCGGTCTACGTCCCTACCCTCAGCTATGCTCACGACCTTTGAGTAGTGACCAAAAAACGAGATCGTGGATACAAGTGACGGAAATGGGCCTCCTCTGAAGTGTGGCTGGCCTCTCCCTTGGAGATAAAGTGAGGAGTTTGGCCATCTGGGAGAGGCTCAGAGTAGAGCTGCTACTCCTCCACATCGAAAGGAGCCAATTGAGGTGATCTGACAAGGATGCCTGCTGGGGTCTCCAGGGTGATGTGTTCCAGGCATAACCCACTGGGAGGATGCTGCGTTGCAGACCCAGGCCAAGCTTGAGAGATTATATCTCTCATTTGGCCTGGGAACACCTTTGTGTTCCCCCAGACAAGCTGGAGGAGGTGGCCAGGGAGAGGGAGGTCTATCTGGGTGTCTCTACTTAGGTTGCTGCCCTAATGACCCAGCCCCGGATAAGTGGAAGGAAATGGATGGATGGGTGGAAAGTATTAATGAACATCGTTCACTGACAGCTTTGAAGTGAATGTAGTTTAAATTAGTTCATATCTGTGTGTAATTGTGTACTTCTACTCACATCTGAAGCTTGGTTAGTCCTCTGGAAGGCCCATGTGTAGGAAACTGAAGCATTCTTTGTCATGATGTGTGTGTAGGTTTGCCTTGTTTTGTTTTTCTCCCAAGACTCCACTATTTTTGTACTCTTCCTGTTTACATCCTAAAAGATTCATTAGACAAATTTCTGGTTTGAAAATCTATGGTAACATTTTTCAGAGCAGCAATCATGTCAGTAACTCTTCTCACCATCATGAAGTAGAGCTCACAGTCAGCTGTGCAAGAAGTTTCAAATTCAAATGTAATGCGACCAAATTCTTCCCCTGAATGACTCGACACTGAAGTAGGAAGCCTGATGGCAAATAAACAGAAGCATATGAAGACAGAAGAAGAGAATTAGTCACAGCTGAAAGAAATAGCTCAGTGGCAAAAGTGATGGAGGCTAAAAAACTCAAAGCTACTATCCTTACTTGAATCCAGGAACATGGAGGTTGAGGATGAGGTAATCATTATCAGAGCTTCCGGCTCCAGCCTGGATGTGATTACCTGCAACCTCCCAACCTGAAAATGAAAATAAATAAATAAATAAATA